ACGGAACGTTGGACTGATGTTTGGCAATCTGTTAGAAATTGTGCGGCTTCACTGCTATACTTCAAATTCAGCTCTGAAATACGACATAAAGTAATAGCAGAACCCACACAAGTTGTTGCAGTGTTTCTGCCCTACATAGTGATGCTTTTTTTATTCATCACCAGGCAGGATTTCGAGTAGCTTGCTGTCACAAGGCAGAAAGTTAATTAGAGAAGGTCGGTGTTACCGCCTTCCGCTGAGTTGCCGGAGTGTTAGTGTTTTGATAAGTTCGTGGTGGTGCAGCAGTTGAATAGATATAGACAATAGTATAGGTGTTTTGGTGAGGTTGCAGTACAACGCTATTTTTGTGCTAGTGACGTTGCAGCAGTGCGAAAATGTAGTAGTGAGGATATTATTAGTCTTCTAGCGAGGTTCCAGTACAGCGGGAGTGTAGTAGGAGTGTTATGTTTTTTAGGATGTGGCAATGCTGCTGCATTGCCACATCCTAAAAAACATAACACTCACGATAGTATTGTTGGTGTTTTAGTGAGATTGCGTTGCAGTGAAGGGATAGTTAAAATAATATTATTAGTGTATTCAACGAGCAGGAGTGTATACTGTACAATCATGAAGCTATCGAGTGGCACAATCGCTTTTTCTATACTCACTACTGCTCCTCGAGAAGTTGAAACGACGGAAAAGCTAAAGAGCCAGTAACAGGGCTAGCTCGTGATTAGGCCGTTGTATCTTCGGAAATAACTTAGTCAGATGTGGAGTTTAGACTTTTTCCTTCCTATATGGAAGGTTTCGCAACAAACGGCTGCTGCCTTGTGGGGGGCTGCCCGGCGTCAGGATGCCCACTCCGTCGGCCGTCCTGCGGCTCCAGAACGCAAAGATGTATTCAGCTTTTGTCTTCTTTTGCAGCTCTAGTTCAAGCATAATGATTTTTAATCGATGTTCTAATTGAATTCTTCAATGGGATAGGCAGATTTCAGCCCCTATACACTCACGTCGTCTCGATGCTGGCTTTCAAGCGCAGCATATGTAACATTTACAGCGGAAATATCCCGGGATAAACAGTTCATAAATACTTTTCATTTGATTATTCAACTCTGCAGCAACAGAACTGAGGAGAAAGGGCGTGTTGGCGCCACTCCAGCTGTCGGCGTCGCCTTAGCAACCTGTGCTGATCCAACGAAAGCACAATGGTTTCCTTGCGCTGCAGTTGCAGCAGCAGCAGTAGCAGCAGCAGCGACTGTGAGGCTTCCAGGTACTTGGTAC